TCCATAAACTGTGCTGACAGTGACATAGCCATCGGATCCGAGCCGGCTCTTCCCATCCTTCAATTAGTTCCGCTTTTGCAAAGTGGAAGACTTTGCAGAGGAAGCTCCATCACATTGCGGTCCTATTGATTCACTTGGCTCATCGCTCATTTGGTTAATGCAGCTCCATGTTGTCTTTAATTACATTTAGTACCCATGTGGGAGCAACCCCGTTGCCAAGCGGACGTTTTCGAGCCAGCTCCGCCGCAGAAGACTCGTCCTCGTTCAAACGGTATTAAGCAGCTAAATGTCATCTCAGCCATCATATTTATGCTCCAACTCCTGAAACAAAGTTTAACTCCTAATGTATCAGCTCGCACTGGAAGGATGCCCTGATTAAAGAGCCCATACATTAACAATCATTCAGCAGACGTGCATTAATAAGTCCAGCTGGCTGGAGTGACTTCATCTCTTTTTCCAGTCTCTTCTCCTCTTACTCCAGTGGTCTGTTCCTCCTTTTACCTGGCTCCCTCCAGAGGCCAAGCAGTGCCACTACAGATCTCTGCCAATAATACCTGCGTAGCAGTAGTCACTGCATTGTGATCAGGACGGTGGGAGGCAGTTTATTTGCTACGGGGCAAGAGGCGGCTGTTTGCCAGCGTTTGGGATCCCTGGCGCTGAGGGGGACGGGTCTGCAGAGCAGGTAGAGTCAAAGAAGAGAGGTACTCCATGCTGCATCAGGGGGAAAAACGCCAGCGGGGAGAGACACTGGACTTCTGCTGATTGATTCTGGCTGCCGAAAGAAGGAAAGTAAGAAAGGAGGAAAGACTGGCCGAGGGGAGGGAGAGTGAGAATTTTTACTTGTGTCAGAGCAGCTGTGGGGGATGCTTTTGCAGATTGTGTTTTTGTGTGGAGGGTGTTTGTGTATTATGTCAGTTCTCCCAGTCAGCATCTCTGAAGCTGCTGCTGCTGCTGCTGATGTTTCGCCTGAGTCACAGCGCCAGCTTCTGCTTCCCAAAGCGATCAGGATCCTGACAGGATAGGTTAATGAGTGCAGAGGGGCCATGACGTGAGTGGCTCAGTGAGCCGGTATGGGGGGACAGTAGGAGGCGATGGGTTCTAAAGGTCTCAGCTAGAGGAAGCTTCTGCATGTTTTAGGCTGCGGAAATGCATGCAACAGAAGTTTAGTTTCTGCTTTTTTGCTTGTGGAGCAGAGGGAGAAAATGCCAAGACATGCTGTAGATTTGGAAAAGTTGCTGAATCTGTGTTTTCTGCGGTCTGACAAACTGCTCTTTTAGCCCTTTTTCAGTGTTTTTACAGAAACACATCTGTGTGTTTTATGATTAGGTGAAATGTTCTGTCATGTAGATTTAAGAAAAGCAAATAAAGTAATATATGAACTGTTCCACTGGGGTCAATGAGTCTACGCTCAGCATTGCTGAGGGAGCAGTCTCAAACTCTAGCTTCTATATACATGCTCTTACTAAGCACTACTGTTCTCTTTTCTGCTTTACAGAAAGAGAACAAGGAGCTGACAAAATGTAATAAAATTTGCTGCCAAGTTTTCTACAAACAAACTTGTTAGGATTGTTTTTCTAGTTCTTTACACCAAGATGCTTGATCTGATCCAAACCTTTTTTACCCAAATTAGGATTTTGTCTGTTTCCTCTTAATACCGATTTTAGCCAGTTCCAGTTCTGCTTAGAACTGCAAGATAAGAAGACTGAAGAAGCACATTCATGGTTATGACCAATCATTACATAGTTGCCTCAGAAGCAGAGGTGATGTCACACTGTGTGAAAGAGCAGCCACTGTAATAAAGGGTTTTTTTTTCTGATAAAAGTCACCTCACTGTGCTTCCACACAGAAAAGTATTTCTGTGTGGAAGGATTCACAGATCAGAAAAAGATTTTATTTTTGAGCTTCCAAATGGCCAGTCACTGGTTCAGGCTGGTCAGACCTTTTGAACATATTTTCTTCTTTTCTGTGTCTGCATACAACTTTCAGGACCTACAGCTTCAGCAAACGTATTTATTTTCATTTTAATTGACGGTGTAGCAAAATATGAACATTAGACACAAGGTTTTGCAGCTTCCTTGATGGAGGTTGGAAATTATTAATCAAACAGAAAAACAAAGCATTATTAATTATTCTAAATGATCAATTTTAGCATATTTCTCTATTTTTCAGATTTTTACTGAACAACAAAAATTTAAAAAATGTTATTTTATAATTTGATCAGTCAAATTATAAATTATCAGGTTGCTAAGGAGAAAATTGTCAGATTCTGATCTCTGACCTAAGGATCGGCGCCTCCCTTATTTCTGTATTTCTCTATAAATCTCTTGCTATTTATTTCCCTTCCTGTAAGTTGAAATGTGACTCCCACCTGTTAATTCTTTACTTTTTTAACTTTTTTTTTCATGCCTACACTTTACTACTTATCGTAAAGAAATTCCCTGAACCAAACCACATCAGATTAAAAATCCTGCAGAAGGGCAGCTTTAAATGAGCTAACTTCCTGCTTCCAAGAAAACAGAAAAGAGCGGGATAGAAGTGTTTTTAATTGAGAGCAGTGTGTGTGGTTTATGAGGGGGGAAAAGATTATTTCATCATGAGAAGTGGTTAGGTTTTATGTGGCAGTTTCTCTGGAAATCTCAACCATTTGGGATGGTGTAGCAGGAAAAAGCCCTCGCTTCCCGGGGGGGGGGGTATAAGACATTTATCCTCTGATTTCTTGTAAAGTATATTTTTAAGACACATAATTAAGGATTTGTGAAAAACACAAGAACATGTTTCAGAACAAATGGCATCGCCACGTTACAGTTTCAGTTTATGAAAAGAAAACCTGGTACTTCCTATTGACCATCCTCCTCTGTGATTTACCTGTGGAAGTTTAACTTATGTTAGCTAACTAACTAGCAGTGTTAGCTGCCCTAACAATAGTTAAGGGAAGTTAAAACTGACTCTAACCTCCAAACACCTGGGGAAAACTGTGGTCACTCAGGTACTTCCTTTGGCATCAAAATAAATGGATTTGAAACTATTAAACGGTATGAGGAGAAATAAGGTCAGCTTTTTATAAAAAGCTATAGTAAACAATTAGCAATTAGCCCTTTTACATTAGCATCTGCTCGGTACATCTTGAGTGACATCGAAAACACCAGGTGCAGCGCTTTTTGTGCTTGTTGTTTGTATCACATGGAAATCACCTCACATTACTTTCTGGACTCTAGGACTGAGCTGCTATGACCCAACCACACAGATCTGGTACTCGGTTATAATGGAGAATGACCTGAACCACTTGGTGTCGAGAAGAACCTAGAAGATTGCTTGATAGTGTAACTAAACAAATTAAAATCACACATGAATTCATCTCGACATGGCAGTTTAAGCCTTCATTGGAAAGAGATTCTTCTTTTTTGGTGTTTGTAGAGATTTTTATGGTCTCATTGGGCAAAATTTGCTTTATTTGGGGTTATAGAGAAGTGTCTAAATTGGATAGAGTTTTTAGACACTAAAAAGAACTCTTCTTAAGCTTTTCCATACAGCTGACTTATTTGGTCAAGCTCTTGGAAGCTTAATGTGATTTTGATCACAATTTACCCTTGGAACCAGGCTAAACGTCATAAAATATCTGAGTTTATAAGAGCCTCTGAACTTAAAAAAATATACAATATAAATGTAAAAAGCTTAAATCATATTTATCTCAGGATAGGGGTGGATCTTTCCTCCCTCCCATAAATAACTACACAAACTAAAGGTTAACATTTTTTGTGTGCAGGAATATTCTGCTGCAATAAAACATTTTATCTTAGGCCTTTCTACATCTGACATCAACAAATGTGGATGTCTGAAAAGTGCTGTATGTTTGCAGTCCATGCGGGTTGTTCTATTCACATGTATATAACATCTGAGCGTTTAATGAAATCATGTACTCATCCCTATGATAAAGATCAGAACCAGCGCAGGTCTCGGTGCAGTCTGGAGAATCAAAGGTTGATCAAATATTTGTGTTTGAGTTGTGAGGAAGTGCAGGACCCTGTTTGGACAGCACTGCCTGGCACAACATCTACCAGAATACCTGAGAGACGGATGGAGAGAGCTGGACGCTGTTGGTGCAGACAGCACGGATAAAATGTTGTTTATTGATATCTCTGAGGATAATAGAGGCTTGAGGAATAAATCCAGAAGTGTGTATTTCTCCTCTCTTGACATTTTCCTTTATTTATTCCGAGCTTTGTGGTGGCTTAGAATTATTTATGCTCAAACCAGACGTTAGTTTTTTACTTCTATTCGCATCAAGCGCTTTCTGAGAGGTTTACATTCACTCATGAATGGGCATGAATTTCATATTAGTTATGGGCTTTTTGTGACGCATTTGAGCCATTTTGATGCAGGGTGGCCTACAATACAAAATTTAACTGGTAATGGCTTTTGGAAACAGATGCACATGTTTAGAGAAATGAGAGTTTTTGGAGCCATTGATGAGCTTGTATCGTGATTTAGGATGGATAGTTGTCCTTTGAAAGAAATGATAGAACATGCTAGCTCTTGTACAGACCTTTCTTTCAGGCATGGTCTGTTAGTTTTGAACAGACATGAGGCCTTTGCCATTCCACATGTTTAATGTTAGCCTGTTGTGAAAAGTGTGGACATTTACCCCAAACACTAGGTGGGGGGTGTATGTATTCTTTCTAACTTTTGTATCATTTTTGACACTGTGAGACTCAGAGAAAACTCAAACCCAATTCTTGGAATTTATATTTTTAAAACTAGATGATTGTCTCAACTACTTCATAAAAAGCCCCAGAATCTTACGGCATTAAAGCCGACTGTGGGTGTATGCAAACGTCTCCTAATATGTATCTTTTTAAGGATTTACTGGGATTGCTCCCAAGGATTTGGGCGCCTTCTCCGGTCTAACTTCTGTCCCAACCTTTCTCAGAACTCGCCAGCCCCGCACTGAGTGATTGACAGCCCCAAATGTACTAACAGTATGTTTTGTCCTGGTGTTGCAGATATACACAGACTGGGCCAACCACTACTTGGCCAAGTCCGGCTGTCCACGCCTCATCAAAGACCTGAGCCAGGACGTCACCGATGGAGTCTTGCTGGCGCAGATCATCCAAATCATAGGTAGGCGACCGTGTGAAATGTGTCGTTTAACAGATAAATACAGCTAATTGAAATGAGGACACACTTTGAAGACTCTATAGTTTAGTTCCCTATGGTGAATAGAGCGACCACCCACTCTCTGTTTCATACACACACCGAGTTCGGTCTCTGTTGCAGTTGGCTGGTGTGACAGTCTGATATCGGGGCCAAAACACAGCAGTTGTCCTTTGTTTTGGGTGCTGGAGGAGCTGCAGCAGCAGAGATCTATGGCTATGACATCCCTTCAGTTAATGCATGTGTCCCCCATTGTAACTCATGCTCCTGTTTATGCTTCTCTTTCTGTCCCTTTACTTTCTCTGGCATTCTTTTTTTTTTGCTTACTATATCAGTTTCTTTCTAGGTCCCCGAGTTTTTGTCTAACTTCATCACGAAACCTTCCTCTGGAACAACTTACCAGTACTCACTGCACAATGTCTCACTGTAATAGGATTACCTCTGGAAAAGACTGGTTAAAGAGATTACAGTTACAGAGCTGTAATCTTATTTCAGTCATTTGTCTCAGTGAAACCCCGTCACAGCGTTTTCATCGCTTCATCTCACGTCATAGGGCACCAGGACTTCCACAGTTGGGTGTTAGAGAAACCTCCTTGCAGAAAATAATTTGCGTTACATGAAAGGCGCTGCAGAGACGTAAAAGTTTGTGTTGTACAGCCTTTTCAGAGTGTCGTACCTATCAGGAGTCCCCAGTGATAACCAAGCCGTAAGGATCTTGTTTTCGAGTGCGACAGCTTCTATCCCTGCTGGTGCCTTGCTTCTGTGACGGGAGTAAAGAATTTGCAGGCCACAGATGCAAAAGAGGCCCTGAATGTGACCTATGCTGGAACATGAGATTTCTGACTTGCAAATTCAATGTCCTCCAAATGCTGGTTTTCTGGCAGACAGTCCTAGTTCATGCACATGTCTCTACCAGGTGCTGATAAACTACCAGGTTTATCTGATCGTTAAAGACACCATTCCTCAGATCTCACAAAACGAGTCAAACACTGACCATCGGCCTAAGATTCCCTGGTTCAGGGTGAGCAACTCCAGTTCTTGAGTGCTGGTGTCCTGCAACTTTTAGATGTGTCCAACACAATTCAATCCAATGGCTCATGTACCTCCTCAGTAGATAGTCAAGTTCTCCAGAGTCCTGCTAATGACCTTATTAATTGACTCAGATGTGGTGAAGCAGAGACACCGCCACTCAAGACCTGGATTTACCCACCCTTGACCTGGTGCCCTTATTGGCAAACTTGGTGAACATTATGGACGTTGCGCGTATGGCGTACAACTTAGAAATGGTTGGATCCAAATAAAAAATACAGTTTTCCCAAGATACACCTCACTAGGTGGCTCCTGGAGATCTTGGGACTGGCAGATTGGGATACCTCCTGCCAAGAGGGCGGTCATTGTGGGACACCATCCTTAGACTTCAACAAGGCCATATAACCTGAGCTAATGTTCAGTGGATAACAACACTCACATCTTTCTCTCTTGCAACTGAAAACTGCAATGACGCAATACTTTTTTTTTGCCAAGGACTTCTGAGGATTCCCACACCTGCCTGACGCCTCTTTTCCAGGGATACTCCAAAGTAAAAGAGTCTCTAGAGCCCAAACTGTGTGCTGAAGTTGAATACCACAATATCTGGCTGACATTGTTCAGTCTCACAAATTTCCAGCTCCATTTCTGTTGAGTTTTTTCTCATGCATTGCCCCTAGAGCCAGATTGTAACGCTGGGATTTAGCTCTTGCCTTCCAAGCAGCTCACTCCAATGTTTTACTCAAAGAAAAGCTCTTCTGAGGCAATGTGTGAGGCATCACTATTGGATGAAGAGGCGTGATGCTTTACAGCAGTATAAATTTTACTAACGGGCGTCTTTGTTTGGCAAATGTAAACCGCAGCCTTACAGGTGGTTTCGGTTAAATTAATCAACTTTGTCATGAATGGAGTGAGCCTGCGGCCGCATCGCAGGCAGTCGCACAAACTTGTTGTTTTCTAGTCTGAATGAGCTGCGAAAGTCCTCAGTGATAAATAATGTGTAACTAGACTGCGTCCTCGCAGCAGTGGCTCTTACATAATCTTTTTCTCAGCATCGTTTAGAACAGTTTCTCCCACTCATTGTTTTTTTTTTTTTCTTTTTTGCTCTAGTTTTTTTTTTTTTTTCCTGCGTCACCCTCACCTTTCAAAACATTTTTGTTCTTTGGACTTCCTCCTTTGTTTCTCAGACCCACAAACATATTTTCCTGTCTATTATGCATGAAGCTTTTCTTTCTCATGCCGTCTGTCTCACATTCTCTCACTTCTTTCTCTCCCCCTCTCTCACTCTCTCTCTCTCTCTCTACATCTCTCTTTCTCTCTCTCTCTTTCACTCTGCTTGGATTGAAACTTTACCCTCCCCTGCTCACCCCAACCAGACAATGAGGCCAAGCAGGCCTGTCAGTAACTCTGCACAGCAGCTGAAGAATTAGGCAGCCTTGCCTCCCAGACGTTGCTCCGTACACTCGCTCACCTCCACACATGCTCTAGACCGTTAGAATGTTGCGGCTCAGGATGGCTCTCACGTCTTCGTTCTGTTTCTCACGCAGCGAACGAGAAGGTGGAGGACATCAATGGTAGCCCCAGGAGCCAGTCGCAAATGGTGAGTCGACTATTATTTTGAAGAATTGTGTTAATTAAGATCATATGAAGGAACTTCACTGCTTGGGTTGTGTGAATAATCTCTGATCTCTAGAACCAGGTAGGTGATGCTCAGCAGCCCTTCAGTCAATATAAGGATACAAACATGATTTTTTTTTATTTTGACAATGAAAATGATCTAGAAATGTACATTTCCCCACCTGTAATTACTGTATTTTGTTTTTTACCACTGTACTTTCAAACCCTTTGAACTTTTTCTCATTTTGTCACATAACAGCTACATTTAATGAATCTTGTTTGGAAATTTTGGTTGGTAAACAAGCAGAATGTAGCATACATTTGGGTTTAACAGAGTGGATTTCCAATTTTATTTTATAAGTAAAATCTAACGGAGTGGCGTACAGTTTTATTCACACCCTGAGTTAATGCGTAAATGCAAAAACACTCAATTTTACCAAGTGGTGTTGTCTAGTTTCTAGTGCAAATACCTCAGCACACCTTAAGTAAAACAAGATTAACTTGCAAGTAACTTTTCAGCAAGATGAAGGAGCATGTTTTGAGTAAATCACTGAAATTTGATTTACAGAAATATTTCCGCTGCCAGATTTTTTCCACCTGACATGGGAAAAATGTTTTATAAGAGAAAAGAATCTGTCAGTTGAACTACTACTTTTTGAAAATCAGTATTAAGAAAGTATTAATTTAAAACAAGCTGAAAAGTTAGTTTAGTCTTATTGCAAGTGTGATATTTGCACTACAAACTTGATAAAAAATACTTGGTTTGCAGAGTAGTAGAGCTACCTTCTGCTGCAGCTACAGCTGCAAAGCTCTTCAGGCCAAAATTCTCCCCCTATTTCTTTATTTTTTTATTTTTTTGCTAAGCTCTGGCTGGATGTTCAGAGCTCCTGTCCTGCAGGAAGGTGAACCTCTGCCCTACTTTAAGCCTTTTGCAGCCTGAAACAGGCTTTCCTCCAGGATTCCTCCATTCATCTTCCACTGACCTCTGACCAGCTCTCCTGTCTCTGGAAGAAAAGCCAGTATCTTGGCAGGTTGCTGCCATCTTGCTGCATGTCGGCCAGAAGGATACATTTTGGTCATATATGAACAGAGCACATTTACTGGCAGTGAGAGTTAAGAGATTTCTCTCGGCTACCTTTCTATGAAAGCCATATTTGGAGTCAAAAACTGGCAATTATCCTTTCTGCAAATGATCCCACCTCAGGTATTAATCTCCTCATCTCCTCCACGGTAACTCAGAACAATAAACTCTCTCCTCCTCTCTTCAGATGGACAACCATGTTTTGGTAGATTTGTTGCACCGTATTCTTTTCATTTTCAAACAGTGGATTGCAACGGTTCTCCATGATGTGTCCAAAATGAAGTCCATTTCATTATACCCAGACATCTTCACAACATTCTGCTCTTCTCTAATGTTCTCCAACAATCCTGCAGCTGCGTTAATACAAAGATCAGATTACACTGAGGTTTCCTCTGTGTTATAGTCGGGGTTTCTAAAGACAGTTAGTTGAAATGAATCTGGGCTAAATGGATATGAATGCCGTGGTTTTCAGGATAATATTTAAAAAAAGAAGTTGTGGAAACTCTTGTTTCCTTCAGATTGAATCTCTAATTTGTGTTGATATATTTCATGAATAGAATGACGTTAGCGCTGCCTGCTATTATATCCTGATGTCTGATTTAAACCAGTCCACTGAAGCGTTAGCATGATTCCCTTTTAGCCTATCAGTTTGTTTTTCCTTGATTGTTCTATATTAAACTCCATCTGTCTTCCTGTCAACCCTGACTAACTTCCTCGTTCCTAGTAGAACAACATCCCCACAGCATGATGCAGCCACCGTCATGTTAGCTGTTCTCTACCACAGTTAGCATTTAGCATGTCGGCCAAAATCTTAAAATTTTCCACCACATTTTTACCTTATTAAAACCTCTTGATGTAGACTGGAAGAACATTCCTTTGACAGGCTTGCAGCTGTATGTGCAGTGAAACACGGTGATAAAAGCTTGATGAGTACGAATTCTTGTGCAATAAACCCAGTTTGCCTGAGCGACTCAGAGGGCTGGCGGTGAGTGACTGAGCCACATCCTGTCAGTTCAGCAACAACTTCTAGTAGCTTTTACACCATTTCCATACAGGATATTGTCCATGCTAGCGGCTGGGTGACAGATTCCTGCTCTTTTTAACGGGATGACGAGCTCTATGACCGCTGATTGTCGTCACTGCGAGATAATTGCCCCTCACTTTAACCAGAGTTGACTAAGTGTTTATATGGGTAAGAGGTTTGCTCTGGCATCGGCCTGCCTCCCGTTAAAAGGACGCTAACTGCCATCCTCAACGGGACGCGGTGGAGTTCAACTCTGGCAGCGACGGTCTTCCGGGGGTCAACGGCCGATTCCTACTCAGACATCATTTACCTCTAAACAAGGTGACATAAAAGTCTGGTGAAAACCCTCCGCTGGAATGTGTCTGCATCTGTTTTACGACCAAGTTCACACAGCGAGCAGTTTTCAGCTGTTTGCTTGTCTTCCTCCAGCTGTAGAGGAAGCATAGCTTGACGGCTGCATTTAAAAACCGGGGCAAGGAAGATCTTACGGTTGTTGGGTTCTGCTGGTGGATCCATCCCTGCCGCCTTTACATAAAGTGATGGTGCTGGTTGGGAACAGCTGGAACCAGACCGCCCGACTGCTGCAGCTCTGCCGCGCCGGGCGGCTTCACTATGCGACTGTGTGCATTTGTGCGCAGTGTGGTCTTTGTCTCATTCACTTGCTAAGCCTATTGATCCACCACCTGCTCTGAGCTCCGAGGGTCCTGCCAGCATGGGAAAATAAACTTTGGGAAAAGCATGGTTGCTTACTGTGTGGGAGCAGAGGAAAGGAAACACCTGATGTACTGTGAGCGTGTGTATGATTATTGTGGTAGGAACTTTAACCGTCTGCAGCTTGTTTTCTTGACGTTAAATGATGCTGGAGTGAAGGGCTAGACTTTTACTATGTTTTTATCAGCTCTGCATTTGGTGTATTTTGTTGAGGTTTTTGATATTCCAATACAAAATTGAATATGGGAGAGGACTAGGGCCACTGGAAAAAAAAAATATTTCAGACTTTTTTTCTCAGAATTCTGACATTTTTATCATAATTTTGAGAAAAACATTAAACCCTAATCCACTTTCTTAGAACATAATTGTAAAGTAGAATGAAAATGAAATGTGCTTTTTGAGAATTTTAACAAGTGTAAATCTGCAAAGTGTGGCGTCCACCTGTACTGACAGGCCAATCAAAGACCGCATTAATCAGAGAAGCGGTGCAGAGGCCTGTGGTAACTCTGCAGCAGCTGCAGTGATCCACAGCTCAGGTGGGAGAATCTGTTGATAGGAAAACTTTAGTGTGCAGTTTTTATATGTTTGGGACACAGCAGACATGTGGAAGAAGCTCTGAGCAAATTAAAGATCAAGTTTTTGGCTTTCATGCGAGTAGAGCGAATGACAGAATAGGCCAAGACTGAAAATCACCTTGAACAAACCATGCTGTGTCTCTGTAGGTAGAGCAACAACATGATTCTGATTAGAAAGGAATCATGATGGAAAATGAAGTCTCTCACTGTGGTTCAAGCTTCATCCCATTTTTGCATTTCTGACAAACACTAGAAATGTGTCAGTTATCAGTCTAAACTAAGCACAGGTTATCTGTTTTACAGAAATAAATGAAAAACGTTTTTGCAGTGGTTTAACAGACTAAATATGTTCACCATGCTGTCATAATAAAGTCATTCTGTTGAGAGGCGAAGCTCTCACCAAAATCTATAGAGAACTGATGGAAGGACTTGAAATAACTTGTTAGAATAATCATTTTCTGGCTTTGATGCGTCTTCATTTACAATTTCTGACATCACACATAATTTTAATAGTGACAAAAAAAATGTTCTTCTGACTACCTTTGGTCAAAATGCAATACCACAGCACATCAGTCCTCTTTCCAGCCTTCTCTTTATAGTCAGGATTCCGGCTGACACTTGAAATACTATATTGCCATATGAGAGAGCAGACATTACATAGCCTAAAGCGGCTCACACTCCCACAAACATCAAATCAGCCATTTACGTCACTTGCAGTGCTGCGGCGGGTGAATTCAGACCCCCCATTTTGGGCACAGTGTACGGTAGTTGAGAAACGTGTAAACTGAAGAGGCCCAGATTGTGGAACAAAACATGTCATTGTACTTAATAGTGAAATGATCAAATTCAAAGTGAAAACACATCTCTTAATTACAAATTTAGCAGAAGCTTAATCAGACTTTCTTTCTTTCTCATTGTCACTATAATGTCTGTATGGAGGACCAAAAGTGCCTTAGTTCAATAAAAAATAGATGAGTATTTAAATGAATATGAAGACATTTCTTTATTTAGCCATGACATTGTGACTTTATTTATTAATTTTGGTGTTATTGGTCTTCCATACCCCGACATTTCTTGTTTCTGGCTGTAAAAAACAGTGCAAACATGATCTGGACCAGTTTATTTTTTTATGTTTAGTCTTTAGACTGAACCCCCCCCCCAAAAAAACTCACTAACTAGAAATAATCATCTATATGCTTGCTACGTCTTATCTATCCTGTACTGAGAAAGAAACATAGCTGCAGTGCGTTCTGGAAATGTGCCATTAGTAACCTAGCACCAAGAGATTAGGAGCCAACGGCAGAGGTATCACAGTAGCAACAGCTGCCACTGAGCGGTAGATTGGGTCTTGATGATGGTACTGGACCTACAGGCATGTAACGGTCACTGCCGGTCTAGTGAGTGGACCGGGGCCAACGTGAGCAGCTGCTGGAAGCTGTTGAGGTTACACCAGCACCGTGTCAACAGTCTCTCCAAGCTTTTCAAACAATCAGCCTTAAAATGCACTGTTTTGGCTGAAAAGACGAGCCTCGCTGATGTATACCTTGATGACCTGTGAGAGTGAAAACCAACAAACTTTTTATATGCAGCTG